CTTTGTAAAAAAAATAATTTTACCAATTTTCCGCAATCAGAACTGCTGAATTTACGTAATTTACATACACACCAATTTTCTTAAATCTTGTTCGGTACTTTTTTGCTGGATTTGTTCGGTAAAATGTAATTTTTACCGAATCCTTTGTAAAAAAAATAATTTTACCAATTTTCCGCAATCAGAACTGCTGAATTTACGTAATTTACATACATTTACCGAAAACTGTAAATAAAATTTGCGGATCGAAACTGTAAAAGGCTGCGATTCCGCAATTCTGTAAAATTTTTGACGAATGTAATAAAGTACCGAATTCTGTAAAAGTTACTGAACAGATTTTCGTGCTGTCAAACTCAATATTGGCTGCCATTTCGATGTTGCGTGTCTTTCGGTTCTACGTTGTGAAACGTAAGTACTTTACTTTTAGCTAGATTCCGGGCAATTTATGCCGAAAATATAATAAGTATTATTTCTAGGCCAATTTGTTTCAGACGTCATCGACGTTAGGCATGTCCTCATCTACCGAAAAAATTGTATTTTAGCCGAGATTTTAGCACGGTTTGCTACTAAATCGAGCGAGTCCGGGTTCTTTAATGATTTTTTTTTTCAATTTTCTGTATGAACGAAAGATGAAAATGCCTCTTCAAAAATATATATTTAAAAGGAATGAATCTTTTGGTTTGGTGAAGGAAAGAAACAGTTAATTAATCAATAAAAATTAAAATGTTTATGATTTATTATCAAAATAAAGTACAGTCGATTCGGTAAAAATATACTGAACGCTATGGTAAACTTTACTGATCTTTCAGTAAAATTTACAGTCCAGGTTAGTAAATTTTGACAGCCCACAAGCGAAGAAAATTTACAGAACAGATTGTAAATAAAAAAAATTACCGAATGGATTACCGAATGTTCAGCTGTTCCATATTCGGTAAAACATTACAGTATACTGTAAAAAAATCTTCGTGTGTATATTAGAACGTTTTTACTTATGGTTTGAGAACATTAATGGTTATGGTTATGATAGTCAGTAAGGTCCATTAATGGTTTTGTATTATCGCTCAACTTTACGTGGAATATATCAACAATCAATACGAAACTAACGATTTTAAATTGGCTCACCACTTTAGTAGCCTATTGGTCCCAAGCAAACAATTAACGTACCCTATTCTAGTTGAAATTCTATTACTACACTATGTTTGTTTTGATTCGCTATGAAAGTTTGAAAGATAACATCAGGGGTGTGTGGATTCATGCAGAACATGCAGGGGTGAGTGAAATAGCTTGGGACTGCTTGGGACCGTTGTTCTGGTACTGAGTGAGCCAAAAATAATAATGATTTTCTTCGGGACCCAGTGGTCTTAGAGTTACCTCTATGAATATATCGTGAATTGGTAATAAGTAATTTACAGGCAACCAATTCGCGATATATTCCACATAAAGTTGATCGATGTTACAAAACTATTCATGGACCTTACTGACTACCATAACCATAACCATTAATGTTCTCAAACCATAAGTTAAAAGGTTCTAATATAGTCCTCCTCCCGAAAATATATGGAGAAAACAAGAATTTTGAATGGTAATGGTTATTAACAACTCATTATTTGTAAGGTCCGCTTCCAAAAAACCATAATACATAAGGTTAAAACTTTATCATTAAATTTTCTTGTAAAGTTCCATAACCATTTCAGTTGAAGTTTAGCAGGGATTATAAACAATTTTTAACCATTTTTGGTAAGGTCAATTTATGGTTCGCGTTTATGCGGGAAGTCACTCAGCACATTGTGCCGATATAAGATTCGGCACATCTTGGGTACATCCATCGGCACACCTTCAGCATACCTTTGGCACAATCTCGTAGGCATTGGATTGTTGTAAATAAAATGGGAGCCTAGATGGGAGCACACAAATTATGGACAACTGTCATTGAAGTTGTTCACAACATTACGTGCTGTTCGACTGACTGAGGAACTCAGACCAGCAGTTCACTTATAAATCTAATTACCAAATGAAGCTTCTACACTCATAAAATTACACACATTTTTATTGACGAATATCCATGTAAAATTCCACATGATTTTCATTTGACCACACATAAACAGAATCCACCCAGAAGAACACATGAAATGTATGAGTCAAATGAATGGTATGTGTGGTTACGCATGGCTTTTATGTGTACACATAATCAGTATTTTCCCGACACATACACACAAAAATAAAAATTGTTACTATAAAAATAATGCATTATCAAAATAAAAGTATCCCAAATTTCGTAGTTTCAACTATGAAAAATTTCAAAATTACACTTATTTTTTTGGTTTAAAGGTGTTTCTTTCACTTTCGACTAGTAATTTTAAAAGTAAATTTTTTTGAACAAAAGTTGTAAAACTATCAAAAATACCTATTCGTTACAAAGTCTTTGACAGTACTGGACCTCTGTTTCCCGCTAAATTTGGCATGCGAAACAGATAATAAAACGAAAGCAGCTATCAGAACTAGCAGGAGCAGCGGCAGTGTTTTCCACTTCACCTCATTTTTCATCCGCCAGTGCACTAGTTTCCCTTCTGCGCGATACGAATAATACGCGGCGACGCTAACAAGTGGAAGAATTGGAAAAAAAAATACTTCTTTTGCGGGCTTTCGAGGTAAGTTGATGACATTTTCAAATACTTTCGATCTGCTTCCGATTTTATTAATTGAAGTCCTATTATCTTCAGCAGCCTTGTCAGTCTTGCCGGAAGGAAGGCTACTCCCATCCGCTCTCATCATCACCATCAACATAGCAAAAAAAAGTTGTTGAATATTACATCGAAACTGCTGCAACCAGGTCAATCCATCGGTTGTGTAATATCACATTGTACGATGTACATCGATTTTGCGAACAAAATTAAATCCATTGATGTAATATTGCATGTGCTTTTTGCTATTACATCATTATTCCATACATCAGCTTGAATTACGTTGATTGATATTACATTTTTTTTTTGCTGTGAAGAAGCAACATTCCTTCAAGCACGTCCATACCGAGTTCGTCTGGAGTAAATTATGCCGTTATCAACTGTACCATTTGTTTAAAATGCTTTCAATGGAAATATAAATAAATTAAAATAAATTCAATTAAATATTTCTTTGGATCACTTTTTTAAAGAATATAGCAATTGAATTAAAAAGAATTCATATTTGCGATGAAAACATACATCATTGTGATAAAAATGCCCATCTTTTAAATTAAAACCTTTCATGAGTCTTTTTAAAAAACATAGGTTTTCAGATTGACAGTTGTACAATGTGATTTGAAAGTTTCAACTTTTAAAAGTAATGAACGAGCTACTTTTGAATTGACAGTGGCTGACTCGAGGGCTGACTTTCGTTTTGAATGCTAAAGACTTTCTACCAAAAAGAACCAACGCAAACTTTTAATTCTACCAATGTTTTTTTTTTAAATTTCATAAATCATAATTTTGTGTGTGTAGATATCATTTGTTGACCACATTGCAAAAAATTATGTGTGGGACACATAAAAACAATCTTTGAAATTTTATCAGTGTAGAGGCTCAAGAGAAAGTCAGTTAATAAGACCCTATTAATACCCTTAATTCAAATAATGCTGCAACTCACACAAAACAAACTACAGAAGTCTATTCATCATCCCCTACAGTCGGTTTTCAACAATGTTCCCCACCGGTTCCAACTCTTTCCGGTCGCTTTTGGACCGTTGTTTTTCACATCACGAAAGGCTAGGTTTCTGGTCTGCCTTTGAGGGCATTATAAAACCCTAAAACACATGACTTTTTTTATCCTATGGACACAATACACTAAAATTTTGCACACCTGCCACTTTCCGCGTCATCTTCAATCCGGTTTATCCTTACGATTTCAAACCAAAACATTCAAGGTGTCAGAAATACCGGGTTGCTGGGATGGATATTTTACAAACAATCGCAGCTTGCTCTATGACCGGCACAATCAGCACATCTGTGGTACACTGACAAAAAAGATGACCCAAGACTGGTGTGTGGAGTGACCTACCCCTTGGGTTCGTATTTCATCGCAATATTTATCTTTTTACACAAAACAGCTGTTTTCTGTGACGACACATCTGCCATTGTCCAAGCCCTAATAAAATGTGTATGCACAGAAAAAAAAAATGTTGAATATTACATCCAAACTGCTGCAACCAGGTCAATCCATCGGTTGTGTAATATAACGTTGTAAGATGTACATCGATTTTGCGAACAAAATTACATCCATTGATGTAATATTGTATCTGCTTTTTGCTATTACATCATTATTTCATACATCAGCTTGAATTACATTGATCGATATTACATTTTTTTTTGCTGTGTGGTTATTTTGCTTAACGACGTGTTCAGGGTATCATCCAAACCATTTGTGGCATATTTCAATCATTTGGGTATATCGTTATCGTTTAAAAGTTCCCGCATAAACAATAACCATAAGAAGCGCCTAACCACCAATTCGGGATATCATCCCAACTTTATGTGGGATAGTCGTACCATCTATGATATCGTTAGAGTATGGTACCCGTTTATTAGGGTTAGCATGTTTCAGTTAGCGAACGTCTATTGTATTTGGTTCAGTGTAGTTTTGTGGTCATGGGGCCTGTTTGCACCTCACGCTCCCCTTTTCGCTTGCCATATTTTTTCCATCGGGCTCGCGAATGTTTCTGCCAGAAAACGATCAAAACGTTATTTGCAAATGGCCATCGGGTGAGAAATGGCTCCAGTATGTGTGAAGTATTTTTCTAACTCAAAATTCAGCATTGAATGATTGTCGCGATCGGCGAAAAACGTTTGCAAGTGCTACCGGAAGCGTTCGTGCGTAAGTGGCTAGTGTTATTCAGTGCGGTCGTGCGTCGGAAATAGTGAAAATCACGCATTTTTGATTTCCTTGCAATCGCTCAGAGTTCAATTCCTTTGGTGCTGTGTGCTCTTGCCGTATATATCGTGCCCGCAATATACATGCACACATTCTGCTTCTTGCCTGTGGGTTAGAGCAAGAAAGATGTAACGTGCGCTAGACAGAGAGCGAAGACCCGTACCGTTCGTTTTAGCAGTCGCCAGGCTCGGCCAGAAGTGTAGCGTAGCAGCAACAGCAACAACAACAGCAGAAAAGTAGAAGCACCGAGACGTTTTGGTACGTACTTACGATACACATACGCACACAAATGCATGGATTTTATTGGTGTGTTGCACAATGCCCATGTGTAGTGGGCATTCTGTGTGCCTGCTGGTTCGGAAGTGCTAGTGTTTTGTTTACGAGGTGTGTAAGTGGTAAACGATCACTGTACTCAACAGCGGGCACCTTTTTGGCTCGCCGTCCGTATCCAGACCTAGCGTAGCCACTTCAAAACAACTGAAAATCGACGTCGCCCGTTCTGTCACCTTTTCCTAGGCACTCTTGGGGACGCAGTGCTGCCGCCAATGACGACTACATGGCATTCATCAGCTTTTATTCTACAATATTAATTCATGGAGCTCTGCAATAACAGCACCTGTGGTTTATAAACTGGCCATAGTGTAGCGACTGTATTGAAATGGGAACTTAAGAATTTATACCGATAATTCAGAGTACTCGAGGAGTGACTGCTTTTAGTAAACAAAAATACCTAATGATTGCTGTGGATCAATCTCTTTTGGCCACTAGTATTTTACACCTGCCCATATTAAATGGTTGCATGGGCTTATGGTAAATCTACTGTCTTACCTGACTCAACGAATATACGTTGTATCCGGGGGACATGAACTCGTCTAATTTTGTATTGCAAATGCTATGTTATATTAGACGAAGTATATCGTTATAGGCCAGGTAACACAGTAAGTTAAGGTTTATTTTTATTTTCTATTGAAAAATATCTTATACTGAATGTGCATTCAATTTCTTTGCCATAAGAAAAAAACACCCTGAAAATATTTGTATTTTTCTTCTCTTATCATTCCAGATCTGGCAGCACTGATAGCAAAACCACACCACACCAGTATCATTGCTGTCTCGCGCGGTGTGAAGGCGAATTTTTCGCTGCCTGTTCACAGTGCTCGGCTCTTCTCATGTCCCTAAAATAGAAATTTCAATATGTGATGTATATTAGTATTTAAAAAAACGGTAAAGTAAAAAAAACGAATAAAAAAAAGTTGATTTCATATATAGGATAAAAGTGCGACAAACTAATATTACACGGTGTTTTCAAGAGTAGAAACTGCGGTACAGTCTGCAAATCGAACGAGAGTGAACATTGCAAGAAGGGAAGATTTAGTGACGCAAGTGAAAAACATACGAAGAAAACGGAAGTTGCACACTTGACAGCAACCAATATTCAGTGCTAGTGTTTTCTGCTTGAATCCTGCAGTCCATTGAAAGATCCTTTTTGCCAAGAGTGCGCGAATGTAAACAGTGGCCGAAGTCAAAAGTGGTTATTTTCTCATAAAGGCACATACACACAAAAGCATTCGCACCGTTGCATAATTGAATGAATACGAGGGGCAATAAATCTGGTGTTCTTGTCTCGTCATTGCCCAGTGTGTAGATGCACAAACATCACTCTCAAGTAGTTTGCTGATAAAAACAAAAACAACATTAAAAATAGGCGAGAAACACTCGGTCGTGGAAAAAAAAAAGTGTGAAACACTATCCCAGTGCGACACTATCGTAGCCATAGTAGAAGAAGAAATCGGTGGTGGTGGAGCTTAGGATAAGAGTTTTATGCGAACGACACACATCTACAGTCACGGTAAGTGAAGAATAAAAAGATTTTATTTCGACAGAATAATTATTTGTAGATTGATACTGATTTGAATGGTAATGTGAGATCACGATTTGCTTCTACATTATTTCTTCTCTGTGAGGCTAATGCGCGTTTCCAACTCACCAGCACACCTACAGTTCTGAAACGAAAACCTTTCAAGGCCTAACCAATGCCTGCTGATGGTGTGCATTATGGGATGGTATAATCTTCGTCCATGAAATTCTGGTAAATATAACACCTGAACATATTTTAGAAAGAACTGACAGATAAACTCTTAAGGGATATGCCGTACCTTTACTAACTAAGTTAAAAATGTGGTTTTAGGAAGTCAACCACCAATGATCCTTTCTATTGCATTTTCATGTGATTTGATGTTTTGCATGATGACGTTTCCTTTGAAATTTTTTACACAAAGATGGATGAAATTTTTAAGAAAATGTATTCATCCAATTGGATAGTGACAGAGTATTCTCTGTAAATACTTATTGAAAATTATGTTTGGCTTTGGCTCCTCAACAAACAACAAATGGCTGCATAAACCATTTTTGCCTGTTCTGCATTTACAATTTACAATATTGTTTATTGGTTCATGTTTTCCATTCTAACCATTATAGCGTTCCTGGGAACTCCAAATGATCACCAATAGTGTTCGACAAGCCAGTCAAGTGACGCTTAATAAGCGTGTGTTTGTTGAGGGGGCGACCCCGGCGTAGTGGTTAACATCCATACCTCTCACGCCAAAGTCACGAGTTCAAATCTCACCCCCGGACAAGTCACGAATGACCCAAGAGTGTTAAAGTGACTATAATAAAAAAAATAAGCGTGTGCTTATTCTCGAACCTCAGATAGCCTAGTCAGTTAACACATGGGTTCGATTGCCGATCCCTCTCTGAGCATAGAGTATCATTGTGCTTGCTACACAATATACAAATTCATGCATTGGATGGGACATAAACTCATTCTTGTATCCTGCGCATCTTAATTGGTGTTAAGGGCCAACATGTAAAACTTGCAGCCTAGCTAGGCAGCTGCTTGTTTTTGCTTTAACCTGCACCCAGGTCGAATTTTTGTCGAATGCTTTAATTCCTTGTTGAAGCTCTGTCGTCATGAATCCCTATGCCTGCCTCTACTGTGATCTGGTGCTAGATTCAAATCCAACACTTGCTTGCATATTTCGTTCCCATCCCTTCGTAATATACGAACGACTTCACCTCCATTTCCGTTCTAGAGTTTCTGTTGATATCGGCTTCTGATGACATCGAAGATGCAGCTCATCATTCGCGATCCTATTTTTTAATCCACCAATCACGAATTATATACCGCAGGTAACGGTTGTTGAAGATTCGCACTGCCCATAAAAGCATAACAGTCACATCCAGAGGCATCGTGTAACCTCACTTTTTACCTGTTCAAAAACACTGTTAAAACATTATTAAGGGTCATGTTAACTTTTTAATCAGTTTCAAAAGACACCGGGACTTCTAGTTTCACTGATTTGAATCCATAGGAAGTAATATTTATTTATTTGTTTACGTGTTGGGAGTTGTTGAACAGCTAGTTTGAGGCTAGGGCGACGCCACTGGTCACATCTTTCCTTGATTTCCTATTCAAATGGGACTGTTATAATAGGTAGTGCAGCTTTTGAGTGTTCTCCACTGATCGCTGGTGTATAACAGAACAGATTTCACGTTTGAATTGAAAATCCGGAGTTTGCATTGACTAATCTAGTTTTCTTGATTCGTGTACCTATGTCTCTTTTGATCCTGTCATCTAACGCTATCTGTCAGCCAAGAAATTGGAAACTTTCATCTTTATTCACTGTTTGCCTGTAAAGTTGGCAGGGTTGTTCATGATAACATCCAACGATTTGGTCTTATTGAATTTGATGATGAGACTGCGGGCGCTGAAGAGCATTCGGCTAGGCTTAAGCTTACTCCGTAACGTGGGTAGATCACCTCTTCGTGATACGTTACGGGATGTAAGATCTATCACCGCTTCCTAGTACTGACTAAAGAGGCTGAATTTATAAAGAGACGACATGTCAAAATCGGAACAATCGATTATCAAAGTCATAGGCAGTGGCGTCGCGTAAGCTCACTCCATGTCACATAATCTTGAGTTCCTTTGTATGTCCATTAAATTGTATTGTATTTTTTCCGTACTAATAACCCGGTAATACGGAACCAATTTACAGGTGCACGTTTTAGAAAAAAAAAGATGTCCATGATCATAAAATGTTTGCTATTTTTCAGGAGGATTAACATTGTTTTTTTATTATAAAGATTTCCAGCCTTTGGCTGCTTCATCTCTTGTTGTATTTTATACATAGTAGAGGGCTTATTAATAGCCCTCCTGCCTTTGAATCTCGAAGGGGGCTACGGCAAGGTGATGGACTTTCGTGTCTGCTATTTAACATCGCGTTAGAAGGTGTGATCAGAAGAGCTGGGATAGATACGAGTGGCACGATCTTCAGGAAGTCCATCCAGCTTCTTGGCTTCGCCGATGACATCGACATAATGGCACGGAACTTTGAGACGATGGCGGAAACGTACATCGGACTGAAGGCTGAAGCTAGGCAGATTGGACTTGCCATCAACACATCGAAGACGAAATACTTGAGAGGAAGAGGTTCTAGGGAAAACAATGTTAGCCTTCCACCCCGAGTTCAGATTGACGGTGACGAAATCGAGGTGGTCGACGAGTTCGTGTATTTTGGTTGGTGACCGCCAAAAACGATACCAGTAGAGAAATTCAAAGACGCATTATGATAGGGAATCATGCCTACTTTGGACTCCGGAGGACGTTCCGGTCGAATAAAATTCGCTACCGCACGAAGTTGACCATCTAAAAGACGCTGATTAGACCGGTGGTCCTCTACGGCCACGAGACCTGGACTTTGCTCGTGGAGGACCAACGACCCAACAGGAACAAGAAGATGAAGCGCGCAGCGGGCAAGGTGGATCAACCAAGTAGAAGGCGACCTAAAAGTTTGATTTCAGAATACGAAGATTTGACGTAGATTGCAACATGGACAGGAGAGTTTTTAGCCGATTATGAAATACACGGTGGAGGCATCTTGGTTGTCAACGATGCCTTACAGATTACTTATCATACAATTCAGGCTAAGGTGAAATTCTTCTCGGAAATCCTTTGTAAACTCTCTTCAGAATACACTGGGCTGATACTCAAATTTGAACTCTTCTAAGAATTTCTATGGATCCCTCCCAGAAAATCCTTAAAGTTTCCTCAGAATGCTTAAGAAATTTCCTATTTCAAATTTTTAATTGAAATGAATTTTTTTAACTACAATTTGCTCACAATTATGAATCACTTTCATTTGATAAACACGCTAGCCTGACTGTTCTATAATTATGGGGTGAGTTTATCCTTAGATTTTCTTAGAATTATTATCGGTATTCCCCAGGAGCTCTCCTTTAGAATTCGCTGATAAATTGACTAATTTACATTTAACAGATCAGCCGTAGAATGGTTCGCTTCTGGAACAGAGCGAGAAGGCATCGCTGTGTATAACCTGGGTGATGCGGAGAAATTTTTATTCCATTGTTGGCAGAACTGAAATAATCGATTCATCAGAATAAGCAATCAGAATAAGAACGGTAAAGCACCGATGAACCGACTTGCCACAGTAGAATTTCATTTGACCACAATTCTATTTGTCAAACGAGCGATTCGAAGTATCAAACGAGGTGAGACGCAAACCAAGGCTATATAAATGCTATGTGTGTTCGTGTCCTTGCTCATGATACGTCGCGATCGGATGAGTAGATGGCGTTAGTGTTTAACGTATTTTAAGATGGCATCTTAAGCAAGAATTTGAGTGTATCTTGTTTGAGCTGTCACATCGGTTCGTTTGTGGTTAAAGTATAGTTGAGTTGACAGTTATCAGTATGCAATCTACGAATTACTCCGTTGCAAACGCAACGCAATGCAGCTTCTAACAAATACATATAATATATAGTATCTGCTTTACACTACATTACTCTTGGGTGTTCCTAATTAACGAATTGAATTGCTTCAATTTGGTTGTGGTCATTGCAGTGGCGTTACCTCAATCTACCTGTGCACCAACTCTCAAAACATAAACAATTATCAAAATATTGCTTGCAATGGATTGATATCGAGTAAACTAAATGATTAGGTGTATTTTTCAACCGATTCGAGTATGAATATGGCATTAAATCTGCTGAGTGCTGAATTCGCCAATCAAACTTATATACGTCGCGTAACCTCACTTTTTACCTGTTCAACAACTTTGAAAACGTTATTTAAGGTAATTGTTACAATCTAATCAGTTTCAAAGGCACAGGGTCTTCTAGTTTTATTGATTTGTATTGATTGATACCAACATTGTTTTATTTGTTTACGTTTTGAGAATTGTTGAACAGGTAGATTGAGGTTAGGGCGACGTCACTGTATACGGCGGATGATCGTCCACATTACGTGGCACAGCAGCAATTTCGTCTAGCATCGGAGTGGACAGCGGTGTCGGCTCCAGTGCAGGCGATTCGAGCGCTAGCTGGTTTGAATAGTTATCTGGAATGTATTCCCCGCCGATACTTACTTCGTACTACATCGTACATTCTTCTTCTTTATAAGCAGCAGTCCTTTCGGTGGTGCTAACGGTAGATCCAGGTAAACTACCAGCAGTTGTGCACCGGTCCATGGTCAAAACATCGAAAATAATATTAATGTTAACATTTTGAAGCCCATGAACCATGTTCCCGTTTTCGAGAACAAGTTCACGATATCAAGCACATCTCACGAATTTAAATCACGTTTACCAGAACTGAAAATCATGATTTTTAAAACAGTTTCTATGAATTCTGTTGCCATTACTGGTGCCCAGTGCACCGTAACGCAGGCGTTACGATTATTTTATGGAACAATATTCACGATTCCATGATTTTTTTTCACGTGTAGTTTGATTGCGAGATTGAGCTTTTATTCGTGAGAAATCGGCGATT